CCCTCAACAACAATGTTCTGTGATCTGTGGAGGCCACACCAAACATTTGCTAGGCTGAGAAGAACCCACTGCCAGTGGGTTCTCTATCCAACTGATGAGGCGTTTCATGGGTTTGCTTTAGTCTGGGGCAGGGGTTGATATCTGGGGCCTGCATCAATCCTCGCGGAGGCGGACCGTACCAAGGTGGGGAGGGGAGGAGGGGTGTGTGGAATGGAGGGATAGGGGGAGTTCTGACTCCGCGAGGGCACACTTTTGTAGGGAACTGTATGTGGGGATGGATTTTGGACGTCCCAAGCTGGGGCCAGTGAGGAGAGGGCGATTTCTCTTGAGGGGGGCACTGTGGGGATGGGGGGGGGGGTTTCCTCTATGAAGTGGGGGTGAGGGGTGGGCACTGGGATCTATTGCAGTAAACTGGTGTGCTCATCATGAGCCTTTCTTCACACTATCATGGGTCATTTTGGATGGTGCATGTCGGGGTTTTGGTGGTGGGGGGGGGGAGAGGGGGCACTATCCTGCGAGGGTGGCACGTTGGAGGGACGCGCTACCCTTGGGGGGGGTAGGGGTGGATACAGGGTGCCCTAGTCTGGGGCCGAGGTTGGTATGTGGTGTCTTTACTGACTATCGGTGGAGGCAGATAGTGGCATGTGGTTTGTTTCCTCTGGAGGCAGGGAAGGTTGAGTCGCCCCTCCAATACCTCTCTGTTCTGGAGGAAGTGGTTGGGTGTCAGTCAGGTAGGCCTGCATATGCTACATGGGGGTTGTCCGACCTTTGCATAGGGTTCTGGATGATTCGTCTCAGCTTACTTCCTCTTGTTGGGGGTGCAAGGGATGCAGGTAAGTCTCATGTCGACGGGCAAGAATTGATCTGGATGGGGAGGAGGTTGCAAGATGCATTGTCCTGCTTTCCTACTAAGGGTAATGTTTTTTTTTTTTTTTTTTTTAAAAGGCTCCATCTATTGGTGGGGAGCTGCACCTGCTGGAAAACGGGTCCAGTGTCCCAGTACAGAAATGAACACGCTTATCGCTAAGGGTAATTTTTAATGCGTGGAATAGGCAAGCTCCTAAAGAGATGGTGGCTAGCTACCGGTAGTGATAAGTCTTGCTGGAGTGGGGTGTAGGGGTCGGATGGCAGATTAACCTTTTTTTTTTTTTTTTTTTTGGATGGCAGATTAACCTAGGTAGGACGACTCTGTTTTTTTTCCTTCATGTGTTTTCTTTTTTTTTTTTTTTTTTTTTTTTTTAATATAAAAAGAGATGACGACAGCCATGCAGCACCCGTATGAAGTCGAAGTACATCTCTTAAGAGGAGTTTCTTTCATATGTCGAGGGCTGGTATGGTTTTGCGCGTTGTATCGAATTAAACCGAATGCTCCACCGCTTGCGCAGGCCCCTGTCAATCCCTTTGAGTTTCGGCCTTGCGACCGTACTCCCCAGGCGAAGTGTTTAACGCGTTAGCTAGGTCCCTCATATGGTCGCTTTCTTGGTTCACGAGCGGCTGCCTTGGTAACCACCACTTGTGTTTCAATCTCTTCTTGGGGTTTTCTTCTTGGGTTCACGATACTCCGACAGTTTCTTCTTGGGGTGATCTGTGTTTCAAACCTTTTTAAGATGCTGCACTGGGAGCCAGTGCTTGTTATATCAGATTCGCATCATGGCTTTTGTCAGAAATGTTTGATGCTTCTTGGGGTTTTCTGGGTTTTCTGTTGGATACTCAGACTGACTGTGGTTATGTTAATTGTGGTCACTTTTGTAGCTTCTCTTTTTGTTTGTATAGAATCTATAGATCTCGTAAGTATACCAGTAATTAAGTTCTCTGTAAATTGCTGGAACACTTTGCAAAGTTTTTGCATCAACCTTCTAGTATTAGCCAATATGGTACGTCAATACATGTTTCTATGCTTTTTTTTTTTTTTTTTTTTTTTCCCCTATTGCTCCATCTATTGGTGGGGAGCATCACCTGCTGGAAAGCGGGTCCAGCGTCCCATTTACAGACTGAGAACACCTTAGCAAAACAATTTTGGGAGTTCCTGCCAGCATTGATTGCCCTGCTAACCCAGGGGATTGACTGAGCAGGGCATGGAAAAGACGGAAAGGAGAGGAGAAGAACCTCTATGCTGATACCCATCTTTCTGATGTTTAGTAGCAGCTTTTTGTTGTTAACTTTGATTTTTCTTCTGATAGAAGCACGATGGGGGACAGCCATATATATATATATATATATTTTGCTCACCTCAGAAATTTTTAACTGGCGTTCTTCCATGTCATGGAACATATCTTTCTTTCACTACCTACCTACCACTACTCCTAAGGCTATACAGGGGACCCCTGCAAGCATAGCTGTCCACCTCTCTTCGGTGAAGGGAGGTTACCTCTCTCAGTGGAGAGAGGTAACGGCATGTTTGCCCCCTTTTTCCATTTTCACTACCGTCTTCACCCGAATAGAACGCCCGGTCATTATCGCTGCATCTGGACCAAAAATTGTGCCAAATACAGATAATGATTGAGCGTTCTATTCGGGTGAAGACGGTAGTCTATTAGACCCTCTAGGTTGAAAAAGAAAAGAAAAAAAAGGCTTCTACAGAATTCTTGATTGTTTCTAGTTGTTCAAAAGTTCTTCAAAAGTTTTCAAAGGTATTCAGAAGCTCTTCAAAAATTAGCAAATCTCAGCTGAAGCCGGGCAATGGCCCTCGTAGGTACTTCAAATGATCTGTTAATTTTTCAAAGGGACCCTGGGCCCGGTTCCCAGCACGTGCTGCTCCCCCACGAATAGATTTTACCAACTGGGCCGCGCAGGTCACCTTGATTGCCCGGGTGGCCCGGTCGGGCAAGGGCCAGGGAGGGTCCCTGTAAAAAAAGAAGAAAAAAAAAAAAAAATCGGAAAAAAGACAATGTTGTGCAGAAAAATAAACGGAACAACTTTTGCGCCAGGGTCGGATCGAAACTCTTTGCGAAATTAAAAAAATAAAATAAAATTAAAAAAAAATGTTTCTTTTTATTTAGTTTTTAAAATTCACTTTTGGGCCGTTTTGGCCCGGCCAAGCAAGTGGTCCCCCGCCACTCTGATAACATAGCCCCTCTTGCAATTGCGAATCTCGAAGGCTAAAGTTTTTACCCCCTCATTCCTAACAGGGACTACCGCAGTCTTTGACTCTCTTCTCTCTCTCTCTCTCTCTCTCTCTCTCTCTCTCTCTCTCTCTCTCTCTCTCTCTCTCCCCCCACATAGAAACCACACAGCATGAGTATGCAATGGCCTGATGGAGTATTGCTATCCGCCCTCTCCTATGTCTATTCTCCCTGTGCCAAATACACGACAGTCGAGCCCGTCTCAAGTACTGCTCCTTAACATCAAACCGCCTGGCTAACATTCGCTGCTCTGTTGTTCTTTCTCACTTGCAAGCCCTGCGCTCTCTGCAGCGGCAATTCTCCCCTCCCTCACTCAATTTCCTACTTACTCGGCCACCATTGGTTTAAAAAGTGTTTATTTAGCTTTATTGCAGCTCATATCTCGCAATGACTTTGGAGGCACAACAGAGTTGAACAGACCATTACCAACGCCATGGAATCGAGCGTGATGCAGTGGCGTACAGCAACCCTACATTTTGTCCCTTTTCCCTTGTTTCCATTCTCCTAATCCATCCTTTTTTACTTTTTTTTTTTTTTTTTTTTTGCACTGGGGAAAGCCCCTTTTGCTTTTGCCCTTACATATTACATCTCCTCAACTCTAAGGACCTGTTTTATTTTCTCCTTCGAGTCGTTTGACCAAGCCTTTGCCCAAAGCTACAGAAGGCCAAAAGTAGGTGTGTCAAAAGAGGGTCCCTCCCTCGAAGAGTACAACCATAACAATGTGACCAGAGAGGGGTCGAGGGCAACGTCTATAGGTAGAGGGACGGATGAGGGCTGTACATGTACTGATAATAGGCTAGGACCTCTAGGTTGCAACTGCAGAAAGGACACATATTATCACATAACTATGAACTAAAAGAGCGCACTTTGCGAAACAAACGGCAAAAAAAAAAAAAAAAAAAACAAGACAAAGATGAAGGGCACACTGAAACCATTCATTTTTCTCATTCATCTTTGAACTCCCCCTTCACCGTGCCTCTCACGTACTACGAACTAAAAGAATATAACGAACAATCTAACAACTTGGGGGGATAGGAATGGGATTACCGCTGGCCCTATGGGACTTGTAGAAGAATGTCTACGCCTAGCGCTCGAAGTACCCATACGACAGGGCTTGTCCGACTATGCTTCAATCAGGGCTGAGGGGGGTAGGTCCTGCTGAGCTCTGGTGCCTACCCCCACTGACAGGTCAGCTCACCCCTGTTGAGATGATAGGACGGTGATGATACTGAGTGGTACACACTGAGGTACGATAGTGGGAGTAGGGGTGCACCAGGGAGGAATGATGAGAAAGGGTGGGAGGAAGTCTCATACGGACCAATATATAGTATATACACTCTGGATAATCAAATGGCCAACCACTGAAGGGACTGTCATATGTCTAGCATCCAACCTCTACAACTACGTGGACTTGAAAAAGTAAAAGTAAAAGTAAAAGAAAAGAAAAGAAAAGAAAAGAAAAGAAAAGAAAAGAAGAAAAAAAGCATCAGCTTTTTAAAAGTTCTTAAAACTCTTTTTTTTTTTTTTGTTTATTATTATCATTTTTTAAATCAGCATCAGCATCCTTTGAGAAACCCTAACCAGTACAACTGCACCTGTCCCTTTTTTCCCCCCTCTTTTGTTAAAGCCATGGACTTGTCCACAGTTGGAACTAAAAAAAATTCCAATGGACTTGGTCTATGGGAATCAATCTCATGCTCAATCTCATGCCAGGTGTGCCACAGGTTCCCAGTCCATGCTTGGTACTCCACCTTGGAATGCTGGTGTCGCGCCCGTCCCATTTCTTTCTGTTTTCTTTTTTTCTTTTTTGTTCAAACTTAAAACCATGGGCTTATCCACAGTTCCAAAGTTCCATGGACTTCTCTATGAATATCAATCTCATCTCAGTTGTGCCGCAGAGTCCCAGTCTGTACTTGGTAATTTGCCTCAGAATGCTGGCGCTGCCTTGCTGCCATTTTCATTTGCTGACCGCCAGACGTAGACGATCCACCCCAACGGTCCATTCCTCCAGTATGTCCATGAACCTGGTCCATCCATGGTCCACTGATGGTCCACTGATGGTCCACTGATGGTCCACTCATGGTAGATCGACGGTCCACTCATGGCCCACCCATGGTCCACCCATGGTCCACCCATGGTCCAGCCATGCTCCACCCATGGTCCATCCATGCCCCTCATGGTAGATCGACGGTCCACCCATGGTCCATCCATGCTCCACCCATGGTCCAGCCATGGTCCACCCATGGTCCACCATGGTCCACCCATGGTCCACCCATGGTCCACCCACCCATGGTCCAGCCATCGTCCAGCCATGGTCCACCCATGGTCCAACCACGTCATCGATGAACACCATCACAGACTGGACCATGGTTGAGAGTTCTCTAGTTGGTTGGGTCCATTTCTACTTCCAGCGTCACATCCTCATGGCCCGGTGTAGTGGCCTTCCTCCTTCCTTCTGACGCTTCTTCCTCCAACTTCGCCTCCTTTTTTAGTGCAGTCTCATAGAGGGCCTCAAGGAGCGGCTTATCCTCTGTGTGTCTGCGACATCGATTTGGGCCTTCAGACTCACTGAAGCTTTTGCTGCTGCTGCTGCCATGATCCATCTGAGCTCTTCGTTGTCAGCGGCACATCGTGGACCATCATTGGATGGACTTGGGGGGACTACAGGAATGCGAAGGAGCGCCATCTCACCAGCAGCAGTACGAAACCAAGGAAACATAATCATACCTCGACTGTACATGGGAATTTCCCACCTTGTATCGATCTCCACCTCGTAGCCACCGGTGCATCCTTGTACACAATCATCGCATTCGTTATTTGTGCTGAGAAACACTTCCCTTGCCTGTGGACCATTGCGAGAAATCGAGACAACCAGACACCAAGCCAAGTGTAACCAAGTGCCAGGGGTCAGGACGATCACCAATGTATCCGATAGCGCTCATCTGATCCTAGTAGTGCGGGAGGCGGGAGTGAGAGTGTACTCTTCACCTCACTAGTGAGAGAACGTAGAAATAAGGTAGAAGCAAGGACTTCTGGTGCTGCACACTGCTTAGACTTTTTGGGTTGGAGCGGAAAACAGCTAATAGACTCTCCCAATTTCCCAAAGCACATGCCTACTTACCATTTCCTCCTCCTTCCCTTCCCTTCCCTCCTCTTTCATGCTGCAGTTGAATTGGTGCTATCTTCTTATTCCAATTTGCGTACCTCAAGCTGGGTGTGGAGCAGACAGCTCTTAAACAAGTATCAGCACCTAACTACCAATTTGGCGCCCTCTCTCGAAGGGTGAAGAGATACAAAAGCTCACCAATGACTACATTACTGGTTTTCTATACAGGTTGCCTCCCAGTGGGATGCAGGACCCTGGAGGTCTACAGAGTTAAAACAGTGGGATAGCTACGACAAGTAGAGCAGACTGGCAGACTGTTCGTCAAAAGATTAGTCTTATGAGTCTGCAGATTCAAGTAAGTGGGATAGCTACTACAAGTAGAGCAGGCAGGCAGACTTTTTCTCAAGAATTTTCTCATGAAGTCCTGCTCAGTCAATCCCCTGGAATCCAGGGTAATCAATGCTGGCAGGCGCCCCTCTCAATTTCTCTTTGACTCTTTCATCCTGTATATGGGACGCTGGACCCGTTTTCCAGCAGGTGACGCTCCCCACCAATAGATGGACCCTCTCCCCGGGTGGTAGTGGTGTCTTCTCTTATCAGCGCCACTATCACCGGTGTTTTAAAAAAAAAAAAAAAAAAAAAAAAAAAAAAAAAGTTGACGAAGCTACCTTCCAAGACTCGCCAGCCTGCAACTGCACCTTTTCGAGTTGGCCTGCCGCTTTCACTACCGGCGCAGGCCCGAAGCCAAGTGCTCTTACCGCATATACCGGTACGAGCACCTCTTAGGTTTGTGAAAACTGGTGGTTTTAAGAAGAGTCAACCTCACACAGGAGTAAGAGAGAGCAGGAGAAGCGTAGGAAAAGATAGGGAGAATGACACCGCTTCCTCCTCCGCCTCCTCTCCTCTTCCCATTCTGTTCCTTCTCCTGCCTGCCCCTCTTGCCCCCATGTTCCTCGTCCTCCTCTACATTTCTATTGAATATAATTTCAGTTTTTGTGCTTTTGACACCACTAGTGCACTCTACGGGATCATTGTTTTTTAAGTCTCAGAAGACAGAGAAGTGGACACATATCTTAATCATGATTCCCAACATCATGCTCATTGTGTGCGAGTCTCCTCCTCCTCCTCCTCCTCCTCCATCGTCATCATCCTGGTCATGATCCTTTCTGTCACACAGCTCTGCCCGTCGCAGACAGATTCTCCTCCTCCCCCTTCTAATCCTCCATTTCCTCCCCTTTTTCCTCCCCCTCCTCTTCCCCCTCCTCCTTCTCCCCCTTCTACCTCTCCACCTACTCCTCCTACTCCTCCTTCGCCTTCTACCTCTCCTCCTCCTCCCGATTCCACTCCTCCTCCCCATCCTTCCCCTTATGAGGAAGCCAAAGGTGTCTGGTACAAACAATGAAGAGCGGGAACAGCTGGCTGTATGTGACTGGATTGTCCCCTATGATGCACACATGTAAATCTTTCTTCTTCTTCTTC